AAATTATGGGCTCAATTGTCGTACATCGAGGACTATCTGTAACTCAAAGTGTTGAACTCCCTACTCCTCTTTCCTTACAACAAACCTGTGAAGTGGATTGGCTGAAAGAGAGCCACCGGCTTTTTGCTTAGAGACTAGAACATATATTGTGGTTATTTAGAATCTGGCTTCTACATCTAAATGGAAAGAGGTAGGTTTTTAACAATCCTGGTTTGAAACTGCTCACTATAATGTTCCTAGTTCTCTGTAGATAGTCCTGAATGGTAATGGGCTTTTTGTTAAATACTTACATTCAGTTAATGACAAACATGGGCACATTCATGAACTTTCAACTCCTTTTGCTTTAAAAGAGCTAATATGTAACACAAGTCATGTTACAAGGTGCAGTTGTGTTATATTATTAAGTAACATACCTTCATTACGTTATAGACTAGGTACTGGTTTTTTTCTAACCAAGATAAATATTGATGTAAATTACCAAATTACAAAACAACAAACATTCTTGGAAGTTCAAATGCAGCCTGGCCTTGTTGAGTGTGTGTGCATGTCTGTGTTTGAAGAGTGACTTAAAAATTAATGTAACTTACCTTAGATATATTTAGATTACCCTAAGCTATAGTCAACTTCATCTGGAGATGTGATTAATATATGTATTGATTTAAGATTTTTCTGCCAGCTCTTTTTGCTATGCTATGAGTTATTTTAATGGTCTGTATAAATGTTTTGTTTTTCAGCTAACTTTTCCGAAGAAGTGGTTGATAGTTTCCCATCTGATATCTCTACTGGCATATACTATGGATGGGGTTGTGTTGGAACTGGAGATGTGCATAAAGTGGTCTTGAGTATAGGCTGGAATCCATATTACAAGAATGTTAAGAAATCAGTGGTGAGTATGTTGTATGTTAATATCGTAAAACCAGCTCAGGATCTGATCAATAGAAATTTATATTTGGACAGTTTTTGCTGGAACTTTTACTTACTATTAATATAAACATTTACCAGGATTTGTTTAATGACATTTTTAATTCCTGAGCATTGTGGGTAAACTTTCAATAAAGTGAATTCATTATCAAAGTCTTATTCAATACAGAATATACTAATTCATTTATTCTATAGAATGCTAATATTTTACATATTGTATAATTGAGATTTTTGTAACAGAAATATTACGTAGGTAACCTTCGGCTTATGATCACAATC